TTTTAGCTGATTAAGCTTGGCCCTCAATGCCTCATTCTCCTCCTCCAACTCCATAATCCTTACTGAGCCTTCTTCCATGGCCTTGTCCAATTCCTCACGGGCCTTGTCCAAGCATATGAGCGAGGCATGAATCTCGTGGTAAAGGAGCTGAGCTATCATGCAAGTCTGAAAGAAAGAAAGATTAAGATTAACGCTAAAAATGAAGGTAGTCAGCCAAAAGAAAAAAGGGGCTATTTTACCTTAGTGGCCATGCTCGTGGTACGAGAGAGCAGCTCATGAGGGGCATACGTCTTGTATAGCTTGTAAAGCCTCGCAGGTATCACCTCGTTCACCACGTTCACGCCCACAGAGAGATGTTCTAGAAGCCAGCTGATCAATTTTTCAATTTTAGCCTTGAGCTCGAGATCTCTCTGCTCTTCATCGTACTACGCGATGAGATTCTCCTGTCGTTCATTGGCTCAAGGGCTTTGCCAATCAGAGATGGTTTCTTCTTGGTTGAGCCTTTCACTAAGGCACGACGCTTTGGCAGCACCTTTTTTTAGCCTCTCATAAGCTCAATTGTTTTCTTTTTTGAGCCTTCTGCCAACTCGATCATTTTCTTCTTCGAGTCTTCCTTTGGCTCGAGAAATTTCTTTGTCGGGCTCTTCTGGAGCTCAGGAGTATTCTTCTTTGCAACCACTGTGGTGATAGTTGCAAGCTTCTTGGAGCTTGGAGCCCCTTAAAGCTCGCCCCTAGCCTTTTTTACTAGAGGCCTTGAGGTTCCAACCCTTGCCTGTTAGCTTGCAACCTTAGGCTACTGTTTCTCAACGGTGCGAACTGCTGTTGTCTTCTTCAGGTTGTAAGGCTTTTTGGCCCACATCTCTACAAGAACAATGAGAGTGTTAGCATACAACAAAGAAGAAAGTGAAAATGCAAGCTACTCCACACTTAGCTTTCTTAAAAATGGTTGGGAAGACTGCTAGATCTAGGCAAAACCCAAATGCTTTCAAGTAAGGAAGCGTGATTAGCTTTGTCACATCACAATAACTCTCAGGAAGGTCGTTGAAAGCTGCTAATTGTCTCCTGTGCTTTGTACCAACCTTGGTTTGGTCAACGTCCTCTGCAAAAAGAGATAAGGACAATTAGAAGTCAACCAAAAAAAAAAAAAAAGACAAGAATACCCACGAGCTTCATCGGCAAAAGCACCATCGCCCCCAAAGCAACAGAAAAATACTTGGAATCCCAGTTTCCAAGTTTCTGGGACATTGATCAACCTATCCAAATGGGTCTTTCTCACTTTGGAGAGGTAGAAAGTGTCACCCTGACCTTTCTTCAATCTATATAAGTGGATGAGCTCCTCTACAGATAGCTCACCTATTTTTTCTAAATCGTAGGCAATGAACATGCCTACCATTATTATGTAAGAATTACCTGTCAACTAAAAGGAAGCGATGTTAAAACAGTCTAAAATGTCAGAGATAAATTGGTTAGGTGGGATAGACATACCACACCTCAGGAGAGACTCGGAGATCGCCACCCAACCCACGGGGGGATACTTCCGTAAGAGATCTCTCGAAACGTGAAAAGAGTATTCGCTCGGGATCGTATAGCTCTTCCTTACCCGTCCAAGATCATTTTTGGTAATTGATGATGTTGGATCCTTTCTAAACCTATATTGATGGGGGTGCTCACATAAGGGGTTTCCTCACTTAAGTCCAGTGAGTTTTCAGCCCCACTGCTTGCGATCCACTCAAGAGCCTCTACAGCGAGCTCATCCCAAGCTCTCTCCCCACTACCAACCGAAGCTGTTGGGGAGCCCTCATGAACATTCTTTCGATGCTGACATTGTGTGAAGACATGTTTGACCAATCTTGCTCGTGGATACTTGAAACAAGAAAACAAGTGTCAAATTTTAGATAACAGGTGACCTATCCACAATGGCCTCCAATTTAGGCATCCAAAAAGCTTGCTCAAAACAAAACCTAAAGCTAAACCCAGAAACTCAAGCGAGCTATCAAGATTCCCAATAACCAATGAAGAATTCCGGCGAAGGATTCTTGCGGTTGCTTATCAAGATGCTCTTAAAATTTATGGTTAGAGGGTTTTGAACCCAAAAGAACTAACTTGGCCATGATAATGGCCACCTCAACTACAAGAAACTTAAAGAAACCAAGGAGGGTAGGTAGAGGATACTTACTGAAAACAGTAGGTGACAGGGAGGTTCATTGGAAAGTTGCCATGAAATCAAGATGCAAAGTTAGCAGAGAAGAAGATGATCAAGTGGAAAAAGCTCTCAAGATTGCAAGAATAGAAAAAAAAAGGGACAACATCCCATTTTATAGTGGTAAGCGAGAAGCCAAAACAGTTGGAGTCGATCTAAGCCATCAATTTGCAACGAATCTCAACCCTCCATGCACCGAGCAATCTTGACCGATCAATGGTTACACGTGGATATGATCAATGAGGGGCGATCAACCGTCGGATTGAGCAATGATAACCACCAGTACACGTCACTTTGACTCCACGAGTAGGAATGCACGTCATTTCGTTTTCGCGCGTGGCCATCTGTAATAGTCCACACGCGACAAAAAGTAGTTGCCAAAAGTCGGTCCCATTTAATGCGACGTGTCAACTCAGAAATTACCCTTGTGCCCCTCATTTCAAATTTCTAATTTCAAATTCGACAACATTACAACAAGAGGCTAAGTCTCAATTACATCGAGTGAAGCTAAGGCCGAGCAATGAAGCTCGGATAATCTCAACAACCTATGTACGAGTGAAATCAACGACGAAATTCAATCTGAGCAGCAAATCAAGCAACTTTAGTCTTCAAAGCTCGATACAACCTTCGAACACTGAGGGGCAGATGTTGTGTGTGATTTTTCTAGAAAGCTCGTAGATCTTAGAAGCTCGTAGAGATGTAGTTCAACCCAGAATTAGCTCAACCCTTAGCAGGCTCGACCTAGAAGCAAGCTCGACCCAAAATCAGTATGATCTAGAGTAAGCTCAATCCAATTGAAGCTCATCACAGTGACCAATCCCAACGTATGTTCGGCAAAATAAAAGATAAGCTTCAATCTCAAATATTTTGGAAGGGATAAGATCAACACAACCGGTAGCGCAATCTCAGCGCTCAATCACGAAGATCACAAGACTACATATTCAATCTTGAACTTATCTCTCTTTCTTTTTATAAAAATTTGTATAAATACCCCCTCAAACTATGAGAGAAGGGTTGGCAAATTAGTATAGGCTCTTTCATATTTTTCTCTTGTAAGCTCTCTAATGAAATAAGAGAACAATGGATGTAGGCTTAACTTCTAACTTACCGAACCACTTAAAAATTGTTTGTGTTCTTTATTTTATGCACTTTCACATTATCATTGCTGATTTTAATTAATCACGCACACATCGTTTCCGATTCCATCAAGGTCAATCGGATCACTTGGTTGGTACGAGTTTTTGTATCAAGAGCTACCATCTTTTACACAATATGTATTTATCAAACTGACTCAAACCAATAAACCAAACCAAACTCTCATTAATTAGCTAGCAATGTAGGACGTCACACTTTCAAATCCATCTATTAATTTTAAATTATCATTAATGTACTCTAGAGAAGAAAAAAAAATCCAATAAATATTTTGCTTAAAAGATAGATTGAAAAACTTTATAGTTTGGAGGAGTCATTACACAACCATGTGGAAAGCACTAGCATGTTAGTTTTTATTTGTCACATTAGAGAGCAAATAATCAATTAAAGTAAATAATGCCCATGTTAATGTTAATTATAGCCATGTGCAATTCATATGACTTTTTTATAAGTAACGGTCCATACCAATATATTTATTCATGTGGTGAAATCTTTGGTGGCTTGCATGCTATATATATATATATATTCTTTTCTACATTTCTAATTAAGGTTAACCAAATAAAACTAAGTTAAAAGTTAAATATTATCTCCTTCCCCTAAGTTTTGACCTAATTCTCGATAGATTTATTTGGTTTGAAATGTGTATAGATAATATATTTCATGCAAGCACGTAGCCACATACAAACATATGGGTTCAATTGAACCTGCTCAAGTTTCAAATCCCACTTAAATTCATAAACACACTCAAACTTTGAAAAAGAAAAGGCTTTATATTTTATAATATTTACAATTTTGACCCAACTTAGATTCATATTGATCCCACAAAATTTTATTGTAAATTTATTAACTTAAATGTTTTGAATCCACTCACTAAAAATTCTCGTTGTGTCCCTGATTTCATGGTCTTGAGATGACCATATCCCATAGAAGTTTTACAAATTTCTATATTATTATATATTTGATCTCTAAAATTTCATTTTTTAACTTGGACCCCTATTTTTCGTTGAATCATACACTTTGGAGTCTTTAAATAAAAAATCATATTTCACCTCCCTTATTTGTTTAACATTCATTTCGCCCCCAAAATAAATTTCGATGCTTCACACCTGCCTGCAAGGAAGGTTTTTTGACAAATTTTAAGAAATTTAACGTTTATGTCTAGTGATTTGAAGGAAAATTTACAAAGATTTTTATAACCATACCCAAAAAACTTTATCTGGGTTCAAATTTCACTTGGAGTTAGACGTTTTAATTCACTCAACCACATGTCTTAGTTTTTAAGAGACGGTTTATCATTTATGACATGTTTTAAAACTAATGCTATTCAGCTATATTTTAGTGTACTCTAAAGTAAATAATTTTCATTTTAATGTCAATTGTGGCCGTTTGCAATATTTTATGATTTTGTATATTGGCTCATAGTTTCATTTGGTATACCAATATGCAGATTTTGTGCACTCACAAAACTCTGATTTTTTTTTTCTGTTTTCTCACTTCTTATCATTGGAGAATCAAATAGAAAATAAAATAAAATAAAGAATGAAAAGAAAACTAATCAAAAAACAAGAAGCATACAAATGTGAGAAAACAATTCCTCAAAGCATTAGTTGAAGAACTAATCATCCTGAAAGATTTGTAGATTCTCTCCAAAAACAGGCTTCTGATATTTGATTTGATTTGATAATTTGCTCTAATAGAACACATAAATTTGATCATAAAATTGATCATTTTGTAGAGATATACAAACAGCCTCAACTGATGCCTCGATGCAAATACTTTTAGTCTTAAGGATGTACAAAATTATGTTCATGATGATAAGAAGGCCGATAGATTCCTTCTCTTTGGCATGGCAGAGGTCCAAGTGGAGCAGGTTGGGCAATGTAGGTGGGATACTGTTGCCCCGGCATCAATACTGAGAAATCTGATGCATACGATGTCGACACCTGTCACCACAAAATTCATATTAACATCAGTTCAGAACTCCTCTGGAGCCACCTACTATACCCCACAAGTTTTTTAACTATCAAAATTGTAAGTGGAGGGGGAATCCATCAACTCAAAATTCAACGAATGCAAAATTAAGTTCAAGAACAACTTAAGGTTAATTAGGAACTTACAGTTTGTGCATTGCCAAGGTTTGTCTTTGGTCCTGAATCTGAAGAAACATTGTTCATCACATCAGGTGAAGAGAAGGAAGTTGGAGGCCTAAAGAGATGCTCGAAAATCGCCATGATTAGAAACATCGATATCAAGATAGCTGTGGCGACAAAACCGAAAGAAATAGCATTCATTGATGCTCCAAAGTTTTTCCATGGAGCTTCCTGATCAACCACTGCCTGTGATGGACTTGGATCTGACGTCGTGTATATGTTCCAGGGTTTCGATCTTTCTGAACCAAACTCGTTCGAACTCATGCTATGCTATACAGGCCTTTTGGCGATAGAACTTCGTTTCGAAAACAGGGGAGAGGTTTGTTACCAATATGGCTAGCTATTCTAGATTATCAGAACTAGCAAATCTCTTCATAATCTGTGGCTGCCCTGGAATCCATTAAAAAATATCAACTTTTTGCTATGAAGTATGAACTAAATGATTTCAGAAATGATTTCAGAGTACGCTCAATTTGAAAATCTGCGGACGAATACATATAATTGTTGATTCATCTAAAATGATATCCCAAAAATTAAACGCCCCATTTCGCGAAATCATTTGGAGGAAATGTTCCAAGTCTCCTAGACCATAATTACATCACTCAAATTTCTTAGGGAACATCATTTCCCTGAAGCAACAAATGCAGAACAAGAATGATGTTTTAGAGGAAAGGTAATGGGGTCATTTTGTTATCATCAAACTGAGCTCAAGTCCAGAATAATTATAATGTCAAATGATTCATTCACTCTTTTTATGTCTTGAAATTAATCAACACTGAATGAATTTCCAACTTCAAACTGTCAATTTATCATCAATTTCCCTTAATCATGCCTAAATTAATCAAGATTCAAATGAATTTCCAACTTCAAACTTACTCTCAAAATTGCATATTCATCAAAAGAAACAAAAGAAGAAAATCAAATAGAGAATAAGGTAAGAAACAAGAGCAAAAATTAAGAATACATACCAAAGGAAGGAGGATAAGGAGAAGTTTGGAGAGTGTGAAGGAGTCATCTTGTTGGTTGTGGGGAGAAAAGAAGTGAGAAATATAAACAAATCTCTTCTTGGGGGAAGCAAAATTTAAATTTTACTTTTGGTCCTGAGAAGTAGGAGCAGAAATTATGTAGAGTATTGGTAGCCTATGTGGCATGAGTTTGCCATGGAAAAACATGACAGACACACTTCTCAATGAATTATTTAAAGGATAAAATCTAGACCATTATAGCTTTATACCCCAATAGAAAATGTAAAGACAAAGTTATATGATAATCTATCTATCCATTTTGTAAACCCTTTTCTTTTCTTTTTTATTTATTTTATTTATTTTATTTTATGTTTTTCATGTTCATGATCCTGATGATGCCTAACTTAATCAATACTATACCTTGTCTGATGAAGCAAGCTTAAAGAAATCAAAGCCATGGACCTTCATGTCTTGTTGTGTCTAAACAAGACTTGCCCTATTGGCCCTCTAAGAATTTTTTTTATTCTCACCTTTAAATCTTGAAATATTTTAAATCCGTAAACTGTTTCTTGTAAAACACATGTATTATATCATCTGTTATTAAAATTTTGGTAGGTAAAACAATTTATCAATATTAGAGTTAGAAATTGGAAGAGAAATCAAAACCATGAATTTGTATGTTCGAATAGTAAAATGAAACCTGCAGTTTTTTAGTAAACCAATCGTATCATCTCATCTGTTAACTTATCTATAAAATTTTATATGTAAATATGTATTTCATGAAATGTCGGATAATCAGTATGACAATTAAATAAATAAAAAAAAAATAAATACATTTTTTATTAAATCATACATGAAGCTCTTTGAATATTTGATAAGACTCGCACAAAATTATGATTTCTCAACCGCTAACTCTATACTTATGAAACAACTTGCAATTCGAGGATTAACATCAAACAAGTAATTATGTTCACAAACAATTTCATTAATTTCTCAAAGAAAGTAATTAACTATGATTAAGAGTTAATGAACAACCTCAAGAAAGAGAATATTTGAATGCACACAGGTAAGATTGACAAGATTAATTAATTAATTACGACTTATTCTAGAACCAAAAATAAATTTAATTTAATTTATTTTTACCATATGGGATTATTAATTATAGGTTAAAGGTCTATTTAATTCATAGCATCAAATCAATTCCTGACCCAACTCAAAATCCAACATAACCAGTTAGATATAATGATAGCAAAGGTGGCAAAATCTCACATAATCTCCCACCAAACAAAAGGAAAAAAAATAAAGAAAAAGAAAAAGCTGCTGGACAATATTAAATCAAACCTAGATCAATGGACAAAGGCTGCCAGAATATTATTATATAATATTGTTTTTATTTATTATATAGTTTATAATATAAAATTTTGAATGGTGTAAAATTGGATAGGCATGTGATCAAAGGCTATAAAAATGACAAGAAGTGGAGATAAAAGCAGAAGAAAATAAAATAAAAATTATAGAATAAGAAAAGCATAAAGAAAGAGAGAGTACTGAGAATCAATGTTGGATACCTTACAGCTATGCAGAAGCAGAACTGCCATGATTGAAGAGAAGAAAGAAATTGAGCAAAAGGAAGAGCGACCTAGAAAATTTTTTAGAAAATATAAAATAAAATAAAGTGAGCGATGTAGACCACAATTATTCTTCATATATTTATATATATTATATTCTTTTATTTAAAATTAATTAAAAAACAACCCAGTTGAGATGAACCCCATAACTTTTGTCAGAAGCACTTAAATATAAAGCCACAAGCTGTAAGTAACACTATTATTCCAAAAATAAAATAATATTCATGTGTTACATTATTACAAAATAAAAACACAAAAAATGAAGTATTTTAGAAATAATTATAAAGCAAATTTGTGAAGAGAAAGAGAGAGGGAGAGAGGGAGAAGAGAGTGAAAATGAGTAACGCTATTTTCAAAAAGACAATAATCACTATGTTTGAGAGTGATATAAAAGTTTGATGTTTGCAGTGACATTTTTTACTGTAAAACTTTATATATATCAAATTACAAAAATTACCATACATTTTTCTTCCAAGATCATCCAAAAAAATTTAAATTTATGAAATCAGATTACTCCTTTCTTTATAAATTTTTCAACAATTATTTTTTTACTGAATTAGAACTAAATTACTTTACAAAATGTAAGCTCTATATTATTGTGTTTTGCTTCCTCTCTTAGTTTTTAATTAAAGTAAATTAATAAAATTTTTGGATAATTCTAATAGGAAAAATAAAAGAATTAACCTTGAAGATTTGAAAAAATAAATGAACCCATTTAAAAAAAAAAAAAAAAAAGAGAGAGAGAGAGAGAGAGAAAAAAAGAAGATGATGATGATTGCTTTGTGTATATATTATCCATGTAAAACATATTTGAAAAAGGAAAAGGGTCCCATGACATGAACATGAAGCATGTTAAAGGTAACTTGAAGATAGATTTGAAGCATATATTTCTCTTCTTTTCTTTTCTTTTGTTTAATCTCTCCTTTTTGAAACAAAGTCTCAACTTCTTAAGCAGTCTTTTTACTTTTCCAACAATTTAATTACCAATAGATTTTCTCAATGTAAGCAATAATTCATCAATTTAATAAATCAAGAGGGGAAGCCCAAGAACATACCTCCAGCCATAGCAATCAATTTCCAAATACTGTAGGAGACACTTGGGATTAATTCTAGTCTATCTAACACTTTATTCCATGTATCAATGGAGAATCAAAGACTTTCTTGAGATTAGTGACCTATTTTCCCTCTATTTAGTTTTTACACAATCTGTATCTCTTCTTATCTATCAAAAAAGAAGTTGTATATAAGGAAATTACCACTAGTAACCGATGGGAAGTTATAAGAAACTGATGTGGGAAGTTATTAATAATAATAATAGTAGTAGTAATAATAATAATAATAATGATGATGATGATGGGCCACAATAACTCACATTCTCCCACTTGGCCCATTCAACACTTAATATGTACCAATTCTATATTAATACATCCTCAAAATTTCCCATAGATATAATAACCTTATACCCAAACAAAAGAGTTTAAATTGCATGAATCGTGGCGGTAAGTCCTTTTAGAGTAAGTATTACCTTCCACGTATTACAATGCAACTTTCTCTTTTGAGTGAGAACCATATGTGGTACACAACTTTATGAATGAACTTCCAAATGTTCATTTAAGGTCAACAACCGAAATTCAAACATATATTGTCATTCTCTAAACCTTATGTCTACAACTAAATAAGAGAAGACAAGTATGAAATTCATGGAGTCTTTCAAATCAACAAAATGTGATACAAACATAAAGGGTATCTCAATTACATAAAAACTACATAATATAATTAAGTCCCATATGCTCAACATGTCCCTTATAAGCAATGGGTGGTAAACCTTTTGTTCGCAGATCAGCAATCATCAATCCAATACTGATGTGCTTGGTAACCACTTTGTTTGTTTTGACATGTTCTCAAATAATTAAATACTTACTGTTGATATTTTACTACAACTTCCGCTTTTATTGTTTTTGGCCAAAAACACCACAGTGGAGTTATCGCAGTAAATCCTCACTGGCTTGGAAATTGAGTCAACAACTCAAAGCCTAAAAATAAAACTCCTTAACCATATACCCTGTTATGTTGCTTCAAAACATGATACAAACTTTGCTTCAGTGGTAGAAGTAGCAACCAAAATTTGTTTTGCACTTCTCCAAGAAATGGTCGTTCCTGCTAACAAGAAGACATATTCTGATGTCGACTTTCTCTAGTCAAGGCAACCAAAAAAGTCAATTTTTAAATATTCAATCACTTCTAAATGATCAAAATGACTATATATAAGTTTATAGTCCTTAGTCCCTTGAACGTATCGCATGACTTTCTTTGCAGCTCTCCAATGGTCCAAACCTGGCTAGGTTACTTTGATATTTGCCTAACATTCCAACTGCATATGCAATTTTAGGTTTTGTGTAGACCCCAACATACATTAAACTCCCAATTGCAGAAGCATAAGGAACATTTTTTAGTTGTTCTCTCTAAATTATTTTTAGGGACTTGTTCCAAACTGAATTTTTCACCTTTGACAATAGGCGCAACGCTAGATGAACAATCCTTCATACGAAATCTCTCGAAAACTTTATTGATATAGGCTTCTTAAGACAATCCTAGTGTCCCTTGGGATCTATCTCTCTCAACTTTATACCTATGACATGTAACACCCAACATTGAGGTACATGATTTAAATTATGTTGTATAGCCCTTAGTTAAATTTTGTTAGAATTATTTTAAGAGAATATGAAGAAAATGCCCTAAACTTGCATTAAGGGTAAAATAGTCTTTTCACTCAAAACTAATTGATTTTGTGGGGAGTGAAAAGAGATAGAAAATCATAGAGAATACAATAAACGTGAAGGCATTTTGGTAATTGACTAAGGGACAAAGATGGAATTTCTTTCTAAGGGACAAAGATGGATTTTCCTAAGAAAGAGTAAGGGCAAAATGGGAAAGTGATTTTATAAACTAAAATGTTAAGTTTGAAACCCTTATTTCGTTCATATCAACCCACACTCCTCCTCCTTTTCTCATCAATTTTCATTCACTTTCCAAGGAATTTGGGGCTTTTGAGTAGATTTTCATAGGTTTGATTCAAGGCATCAAAAGTAAGGATTCATACTCTTTATTCTGTTTTATTTGTGTAAATTTGAGTTCTTATGAAGTTTATGCTTAGGGTTTAGAGAAGATTTGAATCCAACAAGAGTAAAGAGCTTAGGAGAGACTACTCAAGCAAAAGTAAGTAAATTCCACTCAAAATCCAACTCAGCTAAAATTTAAGAATTCAAGTGAGTAGTGATTTATCTTAATATGCATCTTGTGATTATTGAGAAATTGAGATGAAATTGATGAATTATTGAGGAGTTTGATGATTTATTTTAGAATTTAGCCATGAGAAGTGGTTTTGGTTGTATGATGATTCATTGAAGTTTGGTTGAAGTTAGAAAGAGTTGAGTAGAATTTTTGGGAGTGTATTGTTTTTGGAGGTTTAGTAGTTGTTTGCTGGAGTTTTACTCCAAATATTGGTGACTTGAGAAAGAGATAGAAGGTAGCCATTCGGATTGAGTATGCATGCAATATGTTTGATGAAAAGCCTAAGTGAAAACTGCCCGTTCACGTCTGTGACCTTCTGAGTGATTTTCGGGTATCTTAGAGATTGAACTGGGTTAACCAAAATAAAAGTTATAGCCCTGTCTCTAAGCTTTAA